GCAATGCAAATCAGTATGGAAGTCCCACAAAAAAACAAAAATAGAACTCCCGCATGACCTGGCCTACCATGCTTTGTGTATCCCCGAAGGATACCGACAGCGATATTTGCAAACTCATGTTTACTGTGTCACACAAAACACCTAAGATTGGAGCCAACAAAGATACTTTCAGCAAATGAAAGAATAAAGAAGATGCAATATACCTACACAATAAATTATTATTCGGTCATTAAGAAAAATTGAATTATGTCATTGGCAGGAAAATAAATAGATATGGAGTTTGTGTTAAGTGAAATAAACCACACGCAGAAAGAAAAATATCATAGGATTTCCCTAATATATGAAATCTAAAAAAGATAACCTGAAAGTAGAAGGGAGATTACTACTGATATGATTAAATGAATAAGAAGGGGAGAAGAAGGGGAAATATGGAGGGATGAGGGCAAGAAATAAAGATTTGTTATATATTTAAGTGATCACGATGTCAACATGAATTTATTGAGGTTAAAACCTGAACACGATTGTCATTGTACAAAAGAAAGGAGAAGAAAGTGCTCTAAAGGATATAACTGCATATATATTTAAGTGTGTAAGATAGATAACCATATTACTGAGTTTTGTTGGGTCAATGAACTAAAATGTTTGCAGTCTCACTGTTTGAAAGTCCACTTTATATGCTTTAATCTTGTAACTTGAACAACTATTTCTAAGATAATATGTAATCTATTAACTAGTGATTTTCTACTGCATATTTTTTCTGAAATTCTGTGTAACTTGTACCCTTTTTCTGTTTCTTTCTTTTTCTCCTTAAATAAAATTAAAAAAAAAAAACCTGAACACGACACTCCATGAAGTGAAGTAGCAGATTATAAAAGACTATATATAACATTTCTCACTTTTTATTTTAAAAATGTACTAATACATAGAAATCAGGAAATTTTCCGGCATAGTGTTCACTTAACTTTTCTAATCTCTCTAGGAGTGATATACTAAGCACATTATTTTGTTTAAGGTTAGATTTGATATAAGCTATTATAAAATGTTTCTAAGCAAAGGAAATCAAGAATTACCACAATTATGTAAGATGATGTGTGTAGTAATTAACTTGATTGTAGTAATCATTGTAGTAATTTATTGTAGTAATCAAAGATAATGTCTACCTTAAGGATATATAATTACATTTGTAAATAATACTCAATAAAATGTCTTGAGGGTATAAATCTGATATTGGAGTGTTTGGCCCATAGCAATGTTCATTTCCAGTGTTCAATTATAATTTCCCACTGTTCAAACAGTTAAAATGACTAAGACTCCTGGTTAACACTCATTATTGTCTTCAAAGAGCATCCTCAAAAATACATTTTCCCATATGTTTATATGCAACAGAAACCTATTGAGGGCTTAGTATGGCTTTCCCTGATTATTGCTGGGTTTGACCATTTTTGTACATGAACAGTCTGTTTGAAATGATTTTCACTGAAATATTCATTAATTTTACTTAGTTGCTTTTTAATTTCATTTTGTCTGCATATGTGAGTGCTTTGTATTATTAATTATAAGCCATTGCAAGAGCCCTGTGTTTGACTGTTTGTTTGTCTTTTTGAGACAGGGTCTCATTATGCAGTTCAGGCTGGCCTTGGACTCACCGTGTAGCCCAGTCTGGTTTTGAACTTGCAAATGGTTTTCCTGGCTCATTCTTGCAAGGGCTGGACTACAGGAGTACACCAGCACCCACTTCTGGCAAGAGCACTCTTTGAGCAGGATTCAGAAAGAAGGAAAAACACTAGGTAAGGAAAAGACAAATGAAGTCTGGAAAACGCTCTGTTCCTGAGGAAGTAAAAATGTCATTGATTAATTCTAAGAGATATTATTCCTTGCACACCTTCATCAAATGAGAAATCTTGCAGAGTTCTGACATTTTTCTTCTCTCCACTTATATAGGGGAAGAGGGACGTGCCAATGATGTTCTTCTGATTGGGAAAGGAGAACATTTTGTCAACCCTTGACCTCTGTGAAAGCAAGCAGGTCAAAAACAGTGTTATGAAGTAATAAGAACTGTGGGTGTAATAAACCCAAAATATGTAATTGTTATTGTAAGAAAGAGAGGAAAAGAAAGTGCTCTAAAGGACACAACTGCATGTATGTTTAAGTGTGTAAGATAGTAACCATATTACTAAGTTTTTGTTGGATCATTGAACACAACTGTTTGTAGTCTCACTATTTGAATGTCCACTTTGTATGCTTTAAGTTTGTAACTTGAACAACTATTACTAAGATGACAATATGTAATTTATTAACTAGTGATTTCTGTTTATTTTTATTTTTTATTTTTTATTCTTTTTGTGGTACTGGGGATCGAACTCACGACCTCACACTTGCCAGGCAGGTGCTTATGCCACTGAGCTAAACCCCTGGCCCTCTGTTTATTTTTTTGAAATTCTGTATTACTTGTACTCTTTTTTAACCTTTTTCTGTTTGTTTTTTTTTTCTCTTTAAAGAAAATTTAAAAAAAACAGTATTATGATCAGGGAAACTGATGATCAACTTGATCCATGAGAAATGTTTCTAAAGTCCAAATGTCACCTATGATTTCTACATACAAGTAGCTGTTCTACGTACAGTTGTATGTTACATAAATAGAACCAATTAACAACACTTGTAGATATTCACCCACCTTCATTTCAGTAATGAGTGTACAATATTTATTTTCTACCAGGCATTGAAGAAATGAAATGTAAGGAATAAGTTTTAGAACAATTTTTATGAAAATATGAATGGAAAACAAATAATGAAGTGTCTTATGATATTGTGAGAGTCTTGCATGAGTAGAATGCTGACACCGTAGCATTTTTGCAGAAACTGAGATTTACAGAAAGCAAACTTCATTCCCCAGCTCCAGTGATGAGGATGAGATATGCGTTCCCTTGTCCACACAGCGTGAAGATATGAAAGTGATCTTGAAATAGAATAGGACTTCAAATAGCAAAACTGTTAACTGCTGAAGAGCACTATGAAGTGTCTCTGAGCAGGATTTAAAGTAACTAATTGTCTTTCTTTGTTTATCTGTGAGTGTGTCCTAGGCCTAGGCCCCTTGCCTGGCGATAGGCGCTGATTCATAGTAAGTAAACCTCTGTGAGTCACTGGTCCTGGCTGAGAACCGCAGAGGCAGGATGAGGCCACAGCTGAGGACACATTGCCTTCAACATTAATTAAATAAATAGAGGCTGCAGCTGCAGGCATCTCACTCCTGCAGTGCCCCTTCCACCATGAATGTCATCATTCAGGTAAGAGGGTTCTCCTTCTTTTGCATAATTTACTACTTGGAGAAGCCTTTGAAGTGACTCCCAAGTTCCTGCACATTTCCTGCACTTTCCTCAGTATCCCTTTTCTTTGTTTGGAGATGTAATCAATGTGGGTAGTCCAGAGAAGCTCTTTGTCTTAGCTCTCAGAGTCTCAAACTCAGCTGAAGGGTGGTGATCCTCCTGGAGCTGTAAAATCATACTCTTCGTCTCACTTATTTAAGCCTTTGCTGTACACTCGTTTGGGAGCGTGGGGATCTAGGTCAGGACCCAACACTACACCTTCAGCTTGGTTTGTTATGAACTCTGAACCATATTTTCCCCAAGGTAAATTCAGAAGATAGGGAGTTTTGTGAACCAAGGTGTTTGTAATAACTGCCTATTGGCTTTAATATTACTCCTCCAAGAGTGAACTGTTTACGTCCGCTTCAGTGAGTACTTCTTCCCCCAAGAGTCATCTATAGTGAGGCAATTTTTTCTGTTTGTCTCTAATTTGGGTCTTCTGTTTGGGGAGTTCCCTCAAGGTCTTCCACATGCTATTTAAAATCAGAATTCATACCAGTTTTTTAGGAGCTGTGAACAAATATTCATCTGTGTATCTACCTTGTTAGATTCTGAACTGGTAAGTCTTCTGCCCTTTGCAGAGTTCTTTGAGTTCTTTGTGGCCACCAGCTGTTCCACTGTGCTCTGCCTTTTTTAAAAAGAAAAATGGAAAAACTTTCCCATGCCTTGTAGCTGAAGGGGTCTGTGCTGATTATCTAAGGGCCATGCAAGGCAAGAGTAAGATTTACATTATTACATTAGTATTGTAACTGTATGTATTTTCTTGTTTGTATGCTACTTTTTTTGTGTTTTTGACTGAGTGCTCCTTAACCCTGGATTGTACCTATCCTTATCTCATAGTGTGGCAAACAGCTCCATTAAAGTAATTTATTTTGAACTCATTGTCCATATATTGACACTGTTCATAGAAAACAAAGTTTCTATGAAAACCAACTTCTTTCGAAGTGATTTGACCAATAATTTCTGAAAGGTGAAAAACAACTTCTTTTGCTTTCGTTCAATCACCACTAGGTCTTTGATTTTTCCTAAAATATGCAATATTTTTATATCTCTACTGACATACACTAGGGTGTAATTATCTATTATTTTGCTCCACACATGAATAAGTCTAAGATTAAATATCATGAAAGAGAAAGAGAAAGATGATAGTATTAGTGATGCACTGGACATGTCAGAAATATGACAAAATAGTTAAAGTCCTTGGCATAAAACCTGTGTTATGAATCATAAAAACAGAATGATTTAATTTGTTTTTTCCAGACAGACAAAAAAAAAACTCCTTCTTTTGAAAATTGAAAAACGACTAGCAAAGTGTAGAATATCCTGGAGTTTTAAGGACTTGAACATGATGGTTTAAGTTGAGAAATACCCAATGTGTTAATTGGTAAGTCACAGTTTATTCACATTACATGAAACTGGCAATTTCTTACCTTTTGTTTGTCTGTAATTTAGTATTATTTCTACCCTTTTTTTTTAATCTCCATGTATTTTTTTTCGTTTCCTTTTCTTTAAATAAATAAAAAAATGAGAGAAAAAAAATGTTGAACATAAATGCAATTTTCTTTAAGGAGGTATAATTTGGTGTGGTCTCACAACCATTATGATGTGCTCACAGCTTGTTCAAAAGGTACTTACTTGTTTTCCAGGTTGACAATATCCTGTGCTGCCAAGAGTCCATTTTAGTGTGTTCAGTGTGAGTTAACAGGCATATACTGATTATTACTAAACCAGGTTTTATTATGCAAGAGTCAAAATGACTTCTCATTTTTCATATTTCCATGTCCTTTTTAATGTCCAGAAAGAAGGAGGAGGAGGAGGAAAACGAGCAGGGAAAGAGGAAGGAGAAGAAGCAGAGGAAGAGGAAGGAGGAGGAGGAAGAAGAGAAGGATGAGGAGGAAGAGCAAGAGTATGAACTGGGATAATCAGAGCAGTGTGTCTGAGTTCATCCTCCTGGGGCTCCCCATCCACCTGGAAGAACAAGGCATGTACTACGCCCTGTTCCTGGTCACGTACCTGACCACAGTGCTGGGGAACCTGCTCATCATCCTGCTCATCAGGCTGGACTCCCGCCTCCACACCCCCATGTACTTCTTCCTCAGCCACCTGGCTCTCACTGACATCTCTTTCTCATCAGTCACAGCTCCAAAGATGCTCATGAATATGCTGACTCATAGTAAAACCATCTCATATGCTGGGTGCATTTCCCAGTCATATTTTTTCATAATGTTTGCTGATATTGACAGCTTCCTTCTCACCTCGATGGCATATGACAGATATGTGGCCATCTGTCACCCCCTGCACTATACCACCATCATGAGCCAGAGACGCTGCTTCCTGCTAGTAATTGTGTCCTGGGTCTTATCCATTGCCAATTCCCTTGTTCATACAACTCTATTATCCTTTCTCTCTTTTGCGAGGGACATCACTCTCCATCACTTTTTCTGTGACCTTTCTGCCTTACTCAAGCTGTCCAGTTCAGATACCACTGTCAATGAGATGGTCATCCTCATTTTAGGAACCATAGTCATAACCCTTCCATTTGTCTGCATTGTGATGTCTTATGGGCACATTGGGGCCACCATTCTGAGGGCTCCCTCAGTAAAGGGAATCTGCAAAGCCTTGTCCACATGTGGTTCTCACCTCTGTGTTGTTTCTCTGTACTATGGAACAATTATTGCTATTTATTTTTTCCCCTCATCCAATAACACTAATGATAAAGATGTCATTGTGACTGTGTTGTATAGCGTGGTTACACCCATGCTGAATCCCTTCATCTATAGTTTGAGGAATCGGGATATGAAAGAAGCTCTGAGAAATCTATGTAGTAGAGGAATATTTTCAGCATAATGTGCACTGCTTTCGTGTGAACTAAACATGACAGCTTGTCAGTCCCACAAGTTCGTCCTTTCCTCTCTGCATTGCTGAATCTTACTGACTCTTGTGACAGAAAGTTTTCAGCCTTAGTTACACTTTTGTCTGTGTTTAATTTTCTTGTTAAAGTTCAAATTTACAGAAAGGTTTTATATAGAATTCTGTATATATGTTTCTTTTTTATTTATTTTTAGTGTGTAGCCAACACATGTTTATTGTTTCTATTGGATATGTCAGTCTTTTTTAGAAGCAATGTTTTTCTCCATTTTTCAAGGTAATAAAAATAATTCTGTGGCAGGTCCATGACTTTATTTTTAATTTTGTTATGAATCTGAAATTGATTTTAATTATTCACTATTCATTAGCAGTTGAAAATCTAATTTTATTTTTGTTCTTAGCTAGTTTTTTCACTTATTTTTAGTTGACATATAAATATGGCACTATTTATTTGGTACTATGTGGTGTTTATATACAGTGTACAATGTTCAAGTAGATGAAAGAAAATCTATTCCCTCAAACATTTACCACTGCTTTGTGTGAAATAATTCAGAAAGATTTTCTTGCATTTTAGACATACATGGTATTTTATCCTCATCTCTATTCACACTAAGTGCAATAAAGTGACCAATTTATTTTTACTGTTTATAATTTTAGTACCCACTGCATAACATTACCAACTCCCTCCTTCACCTACTCTCACAAGGTTTTTAAAATTTATTACCATTTCCAAAACTTTGTTGCTATTATAAAGAGATTACAGACAGGCATGCATTTTTATGTTCTCAAGGTGAGTGTCCCTGGTCAAAAAATGGAATGAGATGCCTCTCTGGAGAAAGCCAAGACAGTGATCCAGACAGATCAGATACATGTTTTAAACTGTGAACAGAAACCTAATTTGAGTCTTTAGGTCCTTTCCATGTCAGTGAAGTATTATGCATGACAGCGAGTGTGGAGATTTATGGTGGCCCTCCAGGTGGTACAAAGATTATGAGCGATAAGTCGCTCTGATAATGGTACGTTTTTCTGGATGTGGGTTGAATAATGACCAGCCAAGACATCAGGAAATACAGGTACCCGAATTCTTGCAGGATTTCAGCAGAGTTAATGCAACTGTATTTTTTGAAATGAAAAACGGACACTTCCCTGACCCACTATCTCAAGGAGCACCGGGTTATACTTTAGTCCAATTGCTTAAGTTTAAGGAAAGGTATTTAATTTCATTGTGATAAGCTGATTACTGAAACAGACATTTCCATATTCATACTCCCTTCAGCTGTAGCATTTGTCATACAGAAGGAAATTCAAATTTAAGAGAGGTTAAGTTTCTTTTTCTTTTTCTTTTTCTTTTTTTGTACCAGAGATTGAACTAACCCTAACCCTAACCTAGAGCTTTTGAGCCAGGTGTTTACCACTGAGCTAAATCTCTGGCTAAGAAAAGGTTAGTAAGTAGTGTCCTGCAACTAAACTACTAATATTTAGTGGAAATGAAATTCTGATTAGTGTGTGTGAGGTCAAAGTCTGTGTTCTGGAAGCCACTTGGACTTATAAAAATTTAGCAATATTTTTAATAATTTTATTGGAAATTCACCTTTGACATTGTCAAAAATATTGAAAAAAAATACAAAATAATTTATATAACACTTAGTTTAAAAATATGTGTGTATAGATATTGTGCTGTAGCTTTAAAGGTATGTCTTCATATGTGAGAAATGAGAACAGATTTTAAATTACGATATTAGAAGAGATGCTCACTAAAAATTCTCTAGTTTGAAATAACAACAAACTTGTTGAACTTGCTTTCTTCCTCCTTCAACTATACGTTCTCAAAGCTACCTGGGGTCATGACTGTGTTTAATGTTCGCTCACTTTTCATTGAAATTTAAATACCTCTTCATTGATTCTTTGATCTCCTTGCTCTAGAACCTCATCTAAATCAATCGACTATATTTATTTTTCTGCATTTTGTTGTTACTGTATAACATTGTTTTTGTGAGTTCTATCTATATTTTTATATACCCCTGGGAAACTATAACACATTTATCTGTTTTATTTTCAAATTTCATTTCCCATTTTTTCTGCTGTCTTGTTTTCTCCCTTTTTTCTTTCCTTTCTTTTTTTGTCTCTCTTTCTTTTTCTTCCCTTTCTGCTCTCCTCTCTCTCCCACATACTTTTTCTGTCTTTCTTTTCCTTTCAGCATTTTGCCACAATGAACAATATTGCTACAACCATTTGATACAAATAAATCCTTTGTAAGAAGAAATTCTGAAAATAATATACCCAGAAGAATTGCTGACTTATAAGGCATGTGTGTACCTACTTTAACTATCATCCCAAAGAGATGAGAAACCTGATCATGCTCAAGTCTTCTGGATCAGAATATATAAGCATATTTCTTTGTGTGTCTTCTGAAATGTTGCCTGTTGTCTTTGTGGTCATGGAATCCTTTAGTTTCTGCTTCTAGTGGAAGGTCTTTTTATTTTTTCTTCAGTTCTCTTGGAAGGTCTTTATTTTTTCTTCAATTCTGTGTGCTTTCTATTTCCATGCATGGCTTTAAAGATGTTATTTCATGGTCTTCTGGCTTTTAAAGTTTCAGCCAAGAGATATATTATTTGAATAGTTTTGTCTCTGTGAATTGGTGTTTTTCTCTTTCAGTTTTTAATATTCCTTCCTTCCTTGCTTTTCCTTCCTTGTTCATTTCCTTTTGCTTGTTATTTCAACTATAATATATATTGAGACATTTGTTTGTAGTCATGTCTGAGTTTCTATACCTTGTACCTAGATTACCATTACGTACATCAAGATTTCAGAGGTTTTCTTCCATAATTTTAGTGAACACATTTTCTATTTCATCAGTCCAAATTTCAAGCCCCACTTGTGTGCCAAAGATTCTCAAATTAGGTTTGTAAACTATATTTCAGTGGCCTTGTGGATTTTTCATATTATCTTATTTTTATTTATTGTTAGCTGAATGCAAACATTTATCTAATTTGTCTTTAAGCCTTGAGATTCTGTCTTCTGTTTGATCAAGCCTTCTGCTTATAATTCCCATTGAATTTTAAACTCTGATTTATTGATATTTCCTCTTTTGGTTTTCCCTCCCAAAATCTCATTTTTTATTAAAAGCCCGCATTAATTTTCTTTTTATTTTATTTTAAAGGGGGTAAAATTGAATGCAACAGAATGGAGCAAAACAAAACATAAGAAAGCAATGTAAGAGACATAAATTTCAAAGCAAGACAATCAGAGATCTTCATTATCTATCATATTGTCTGTTTTCTTCCAAATAGTTGACCATATCTTCACATTCAGAGAATTTACATGAAACAACATACTATAGAACTGGTCGGAACAAGATGAGGAAGACGTTTTAGGTCTTCAAGATCAGACAACAGGGAGGTCAACAACGGCTGTCATTGTGTCTCTCATTCTCTTCAAAAAAGCTGTTCAGACCTTTTTGTATGTTAACATTAAACAAAACAAAACAGGCATAAATCACTCTGAACAAAGAAGGACAGTATTTATGGATTTCACATCATGACACTACAGGATCAGCACTGGTACTATACTATCTCTTTTCCTTCAAAGTGGTTGTTCATTTCATCATACGTTATATGATCAGTTCTCATAAACTGTTTATAAGTTCTATGCATGCATGCGTCTCTACATGTATTTCTATCCTTTCTATATTAGAGGGAGAACCAAAGCAAGACAAAACAAAATATATTACAAAAACATGAAATGAAAAAGTTATATAAAACCACAGTACAAGGTGTTCTACAATGGTTACTGTGCTGTCTCTTGTTACCTTCAATAAAATTGTCTATATCATCAGGCATAGTATAATTGAATATAGCAATACATAACAATATTAATAAAAACAAAACATTGTAGATAGTGTAAAACTTCAAAAATAGGTAATAATCAAACCAGAATGGGTATCATAGTGAATCTTGTTATCCTCAGTGTAGTTGCCTATACTCTCATACTTGATACTATTAATCATAATAGATTTGAATAAAATCCGTGGATATCAAACAGCAATCTAACAAACCAGATTCAACTAAGTCAGACATGGCTAAAGCAGTGTAAGTTTTTTTTTTTTTTTTGTCTTTTTCGTTTTTATCGGTACCAGGGATCGAACTCACGACTGCTTGCTTGCAAGGCAGGCGCTTATGCCGCTGAGCTAAATCCCCAGCCCCTAAAGCAGTGTAAGTTATACAGGGCTTGAGATTAAACTAATTGGAAATTAAGGATAATTACTGTACTATATCCTGCTATTTTTGGGATAGCAGTCTGTGTCCTCAAATCTAGTGCAAGTAGACAAACTGGAACAGAATATAATCTATCTAAACAGAGTGGTGTGAGTAATGCGGGCTTTAAATCCTGATACACTATTGAAAATATCCTCTGCCTTCTTTTTTAAAAGACTATTCCTCTTCCCCTTTCACTTCCACAGGATACACTGTACATTTTTGGGTCCCACCCACTCCCTCAGTTTTTAGATTTGG